AGATCCATCTGAATGTTAGCTTTCCCTCAGAGTGAGGCGGTGATTCAGGAGGAAGACGGGTAATTAAGGTCTCAGAAGAACTAAATTGAACAAGCCTGCTTGTCAAATATGAACAACAAAAATTCACCATTATATCGGTTACAATGACGATGAACACACAACGTCTATGCATCACTAAGAGAAGAACATATCTGAGACTCACCTGAAGCGGTCAAAACTCTCGGCTAAAGAAGAAGTTGGGCCAAAACCATAAAACTCGAAGGTATAAATATATATATATATATAGAGGACTGCTCAGGTCCCTCCGGAGGGACGGGAGGGACCGTCCGAACTTTACTGTTTGGGGCGGTTCCCGGTGGAATTTTTTGATAAAATTTTTTGAGCATGTTTCTCATCAAGTCTAGTTTGTCCATACCAAGTTTCAGCTCAAACTTCGACAGGGAAGGCAGTCAAATAAATTCTTGAAACTTACTGCACTTTATATATGCGCAGAATGTGCAGTAAGCTTCAAGAATTTATTTGACTGCCTTCCCGGTCGAATTTTGAGCTGAAATTTGGTATGGACAAACTAGACTTGATGAGGAACATGCTCAAAAAATTTCATCAAAAAATTCCACCGAGAACCGCCCCAAACAGTAAAGTTCGGACGGTCCCTCCCGTCCCTCCGGAGGGACCTGATCTTTCCTCATCAAGTCTAGTTTGTCCATACCAAATTTCAGCTCAAAATTCGACCGGGAAGGCAGTCAAATAAATTCTTGAAGCTTACTGCACATTCTGCGCATATATAAAGTGCAGTAAGTTTCAAGAATTTATTTGACTGCCTTCCCGGTATAATTTTGAGTTGAAATTTGGTATGGACAAGCTAGACTTGATGAGGAACATGCTCAAAAAATTTCATCAAAAAATTCCACCGGGAACCGCCCCAAACAGTAAAGTTCAGACGGTCCCTCCCGTCCCTCCGGAGGGACCTGAGCAGTCCTCTCTCTCTCTCTCTCTATATATATATATATATAGAGACAAGAGATCAAATGCAAACCATGCTTAAAATACTAACCTACAAACTCAATAATATGCAACACTTTGAACTTCAATATGCAGTACAAATAATGTTAAAATACACACTGTGAATTTCAATATGCAATACAAATGATATGCAACACTTTGAACTTTAATATGCAGTACAAATAATATGCAACGCTTTGAACTTCAATATGCAATACATATAATGTAAAGATGCACAGTTTGTGATAGTTTGTAGGTTAGCATGGGAGGACTAGTTTGCATGTGATCTCACCCCTATATAGATATATGTATATATATATATATATATGTGTGTGTGTGTGTGTGTGTGTGTGTGTGTGTGTGTGTGTGTGTGTGTAAAGGACCGGAAGTATAGGAAAACATGTGACTCGATTCTTCACTGCCCAAAGTTTATTGGTATTAATAGTACTATTAATTCTTTTAATTTCATCTCGGGTAATAAAATGCCTCAACATACAAAATGTTTATTTAGCGTGTTGTTGGACAAGGTACCTTTTTTGTTCACCTTTCTTATCCGTATAGCAGACCTATGTGTTAAGGTTTTGTTTTCTTGGTTTAAGACACCAATGCCTAAAAAACAATGCCCTAGAACAAATAGGAAATACAACCTGTAATAGTTAACCAAGGAACGTTCCATGTAAAATTGATGTTTTCTCTCTCTAACAAGCATAACAACATCTTCTTTATTCAGTGCTTTCACTGCGGAGAAGAAAATCATTAGGCTATGTCATGTTATTACAAAGATATACCATATACCAATGGGCTATTTACAAAATACGATCTTATACAAATCTCAACAAGCAAGGAGTTTCAAATGCAGATTTTTAAGATGCAGAGGTCAACGTGAGTGCCAGACATTTACATGGATAGGTTCACCCAATGAAAAACAAATACCAACACAAACATCAACCTCTGAAACAACCCTAAGATTGAAGGAGCGAGCAACAAGCAACACGAGTCCAAATGGTATTGTTAAAGTGACTGTAGAAGAACGGGAAAAAAAGTAACATATGAGGAACAAATATTTGATGTAATTGAGAAGTGATATATTGAGCAAAAACACTCCAACTACTATACATCTTCCAGTTATATTTTCTCTAATTCTAGCAAAAATACAGAGCTCCATCGAATTCCAACAACTTTTTCAACACCTCTTCTAGCAACCCTTTCAACACCTCTTCTAGCAACCCTTCCTCCTGTTCCATAAGCTATTCAAAAACCTGTAGCACCACCACTAGTATTGGCGCCTCCTATATTTGGACCTCCTTGGCACATCCTCTTGTTGTGGTTAAAAGATAGACATTTACCACACCTTTTCATATTCTTGAGTTGAGTTTCATTCTCATCATGACCCTTTATTATGTTGTGTTTAGGCCTTCGAGGTGTCCTTGAATCGAGAGTGTAGGTGACAATATAAATTCATTTCCCTGCACACAATAAAGATGGTGTCATTTAATTTCCAACAACCTATTGTAAATACAGTATATTCACTTAATATTATCACTAACACTACCTCTAGCCAATCACTTTTATTTTCTCATAATAAAAGTGCTTTCCAAGACTATAAAGTGTTATTCATGCATAAACATCTTGCAATCATGTGTGTCTAAGTGTTAAGGTAATAGAAATTTGCCCCGCTCCTCATAATGTTTTTGTTTTCGAGAACTAGAAGCGGGGTATATACCCTCCACGCCCTAGGTCCTCCGGCTCATATGATCCAATTTTTGTAAATATCTAAAATTCAAACAAGATCTTTATAGAACCTTTTTCAAAAATATTATTGAAATAAAATTTATTTCCAAAAAAGACTACAAGTTTTAGAGTACTATAATATAGTGTCTGGTTTCTTACGTATGTATAAAAGTTCAACATAAGTAAATGGGGAGTAAATGTGGTTAAAGTTACTATTATAGTCATTATACTTTATAGATCACATTTTTTTAAATAACCTATGATGTAGAGATAAATATACCATTATTTCATCTTTATAATTATTTTTAAATAATCATATTATGGTCATCTTATCCATTTTATGAAAAAGATGAAAAATATAAATTATTATTTTAAACGAAGTTAAGGGGGCGTATTGAATATGAATTGAGGTGATTTTTTTATTCCATGGACTCTTAAAAAGTCTATGAACTTTTAAATTTATAGACTTTTTTATAAATGAATTATATTGACTTTTAAATTCATGGATAAGTTTAAAGACTTTCAAAAAGTACATAGACTTTTAAATCCGGACCTTCGCTGCCGGACGTTGAAATTTTCATCCAGATCGCTGCTGCTGATTTGCATGAATCTCACTGTCGTCCGCCTCCGTCACCGGACTAATCCTTCACCAACAAAATGATTTCGGTTATGCAAGGGAACCAAGGGAGGAAAAATGTAATGTTTAGTCCTAGTTAAGGAAAAATTAAACATATGATCAACTTTGGGAAGAATATAATGCTCTATTTTAGTCCTACTATGAATAATTTCTTCTGTATAATATGATAAGAAACAATTAAATAAAAAAATGAAACAAATGTAGTTCATCTAGCAACGCAGAGTTCTACAAGAATAAATGAAGCGTAAACAATCACATTTATTTTTATTAACAAGAAAACTCAAAGTTTCGAGAATGCCCAACAAATTCAGTCTCTTTATGATCATTTGTTATATTACTCAACTCAACGAGTAAGAAAACTAATTTTTACACAAGTGTTACACACATTGCTATGTGCGCTACGAGCATACTAATAATTGTGCAATCGAGCATTTCTTCTTAATATTTGTTTTCTTTCCATTTCTAGCTTGTTAATTTTTGTTTGCTTATTTACGGTTAAACATTTATTAATTTAAAATTTTATTTTTATGTGTTAGTGGTTTATCAATGAAATACATTAATAGTTAAAATATTTTTTCTTAATGGTTAACTGACAACATACTAGAATTGCACTGATATAATACTATGGATTCTCATATCAGTTCTTCTAAAATCTTATAGAACCGAATCGATATTGGATTAATGGTTCTTCAAATGGTCCCTAATTTAAAAACTGAACCGATCTCATCCCTATAGTTTTCGTCGTAACAATATACTTCCTCGGTTCTTTAATTCTTGCAACATTGTGATTTTTGCACTATTCACAGACCCTATTTTGACCACGATTTTCTACTAATATACATAATCAAATTAATATGTATAAAATGTTATTGAATTCCTATCAATGTGAATTTCTAAAATATCAACTTTTTATAATGTTTACTAATAATACATAATTAAATATAATTACAGTCAAAGTTATGCGTTGGCAAACGTGAAAGTCAAACTGTTGCAAGAATTAAAGAACGGAGGATAGCATATAACAAATCACTTCTTTTTTTATTTTATCTTGTGTATGAGTATTAATGTATAATCTCGCTGTTCAACTTTATTTATCGTAGAATGATAAAAAAAAAAAATCAGAATGTAATTTTTAATCTTGCATATTGAGACCATCCCGGTACCCACTCCCGACCCCGATAGTATTAGTCCAGGACCTGTTGGCCAGTTTGTGATCCCGGGTAAATAATTAGCCAAATCAAGTGTTATTCTGTAACCAGATCTATGTGACGATATTAGACAACATAAAAGTACATAAAATCCTTGGTGATGAGAAGAAACAATTGCAGAGAATTAATGTACAATGAATGAATTAAGACTTCATGAAAATCCATGATTTTAGAAGTAAATAAGAATGAACGAAAATTTGAATACGTGTATACTTTTGTAGATTTTTAAAAGTCTATATTGAATACACTTTAGATTTTTTTTTTTTTGCGTTTTAAACTCTACACTGAATATAAATCCATAGACATTTAAAATCCATAGACTTTTTTATTAAAAAAAAGGGAAAAGGGGCCAAAAAAACCTGGAGTTGTCACTAAAGGGTGCATATTCCCTTAAACTATTTTTTTTTCTGTAAAAAATCTATAAAATATCTAAAAGAAGGGCAATTGCCCCCTTTTGTTTAACGGTGAACTAAAACATTCATCTGCCGTTAGAATAACATGGGCTGCTTTTAATATAAATTAATAAAAGTGGGGCAATCTGCAAAAAACGTAGAGTTTATACCCTAAATTGATTACCGCCGATTTGCTTTTCGTAACTAAACTCCTTCGATTGCGGGCATCTCTCTGCAACTCAAACTGAAGTTCAGGTTAAGCCACCTGATTGCCGACATCTCTCTGCAACTTATATTGAAGCTCATGTTAAGTCGCCTTCCTCTTCTCTCTGCAACTAACTAAGCTGCCTGTCTCTTCTCAGTTCATTAAATCTTGTGGGAATAGCTTGTAAATTTCATTGTAAGAAGCTCAGGTTGGAACACATCATCTCTTTTCCTTTTAAATATCCAATATATACAAACTTTAGTTCATATTTCATATTTTTCTTTATTGTATGTAAATTATATATGTGTCGTATGTGTATTTGCTTATTATGTAGCTTATATTTATTATCTTCTTTTTATACTTTTGTTCAAAGTTTACCATCTGTTTTTTTTATATGTAGTATAACTTAGAGCTTTTAGTAATTAATTGATTTTTTTTCATTTTATAGAGATGGTCCATATCATATGCAACAATGAACTTGTGATAATTTAAATTGTCTTTTTCTCTTAATGTTTAATTGGTCTCTTAGGTATTCTGTAGTTTTTTTATTCTTAATGGCTCTCTTAGGTATTCTGCAATAGAAATTAGGTGTTCTGCAATTCCTAGTTCTTAATGGTTCTCCAGAGTCATCATTATTAAAATCGATATGTTGAATTAAAACTTGGGTTATCTCTTTTCCCGATAAATTAGCTACTCTCTTGCAAAAATAAGCAAATTGTTAGATTTTGGAACACCACTTTAGATGTAATCTAATTCATCTACCTTCATTCTGTGACAAATAATAAAAAAAAAATCACTATAAAAGATCTATGTTAGAATTAGAAGATAAAATTGCAGAAAACTAACAAGAAAAATTTTCATACCTTAAAATCCAACAGTTTGCTTAGGTGTGACTATGGGACTTCCCAATGCCTCTGAATTGCTTGTAGCCTAAATTTAAGACTCAACCATATCCAAATTCTGTGACAAATTTTTGATTATTTGTCACAGAATGAAGGTAGATGAATTGGATTACATCTAAAGTGGTGTTCCAACCGACTATGTTAATTAGTGATATAGAAGATGATAATGAAAGTGAACTGCAAGAAGTCAGTAGTGATGAAGAATCTGGGGGAAAAGAAAGCTCTATAGAGGGTAATGAAATACTTCATGACAAACATAGTTGTGGGGCAGAAAGTGGGGAAATACATTTTATGTTAGGAATGACATTTGCTAATGCAAAAGAAGCTAGAAGTGTTATAGCTAACTATTTTGTCAAAATAAACCCGAATGAACCTCAAAGTATTAGGGCGAGATGTGTGAATGAAGTAAGTTGTCCGTCCATTCAACTTATACATATCTAAAGATGGAAAAAAATCTTGGTTTAGCTATGAAGACATTGATCAATGAACATAAGTGTTTTAGACATTATTCCCTAAGTACTGCTTCAACAAGTTGGTTGGCCAAGTATTTTAAGGACACAATTTACAAAATCCAAAGTATACTGCTCAAATGATGAAACATGATGCAGAAAAGTAATTGAAGATCAATGTAGCTATTGACAAATGTAAAAGGACGAAAAGACAGGTTATTCAAGAGTTGGATGGATCATTTAAAGTGGAATTTAGCTATCTTGCAGCTTATGTTGCTTCTCTTAAAAGAACTAATCCAGGCACAAAGGCTGAGATTGATTTAGACAAAGAAGCTTTGAAAGAAGGAAGGAGAGTGCTCAGAAGGATGTTTATATGCTTCGAATCATGCAAAAGAAATTGGCCGAATGGGTGTAGACCTCTAATAGGACTTGATGGTGCTTCTTAAAAGGAGTTACTAAAGGTCAATTATTAGCAGTTGTTGGTGTGGATGGTAATGATCAGATGGTTCCAATAGTTTGGGCAATGGTAGATAAAGAAAATAAAAATAATTGGAAGTGGTTTTCATGTTGGCTAGCACAGGAGCTTGATTTGGATGATGGTTCTAGATTAACATTGATCTCAGATATGCAGAAGGTAATTTAAGATTTTATTATTATTTATATTTAAATTTATTGTTCCCTGTTACATGTTGACTAATAATGTTTCAAACTTCTTTAGGGTTTACTTGGATCTATACGGTTGATGGTTCCCCAAGCTGAACTTAGGTGGTGCGCTAGACACGTTAAGGCAAACTGGTCCAAGAAATGGAATGGCGGTGAGTTGAAGAAAAAGGTCTGGATATGTGCATGGAGCACATTTGAAGAAGAATTCAAGGAAAATTTAGAAAAAATGGGGAAAGTAAGTGTTGATTAATAAATAATTATATATATTAAATTAAGTAGAAGCTTTTATTACTAAATAATGTCATTTTCTTTTTTTAGTTGAGTAAGAAAGTTGCAGAATCCCTGTTATGGTACCCTCCTTCGAGGTGGTGCAAAGCCTATTTTAATAGGTGATGTCATTCACACGTGGTAGACAATAACACAAGAGGGAATCTTTCAATTCATGGATATTAGAACCCGACACAAGCCTATCATAAGCATGCTTGAAGAAATTAGAACCAAAGCTATGATAAGGACAAGAGAGAATAAGAAGTTGTCAGATAAGTGGTTTAATAATTGGTCACCCAAATCCATGGAGTTTTTGCAGGGCAATAAAGAGCTTGATGTGGGGTGCAGGAATTTAATGGTGATTCAGGTTACAAGATAGGGGAAGGTGATACTAAGAACACATTTTTTTAAACAAACAACAATGCACATGTAGAGGCCGAGTGGGATCTTACAGGAATTTCATGTCCACGTGCACTATGTGCTTCATATCATAGCAAGATTGATCCATTGTAATGATTGCAGATTGGTATAGCAAGAAAAGGTACTTGGCTGCTTACCATTTTCATATGCAGCCTATTCTCGGAAAGATGTTCATGCAGTGTGATCAATATGAAGCTATCGAGCCTCCAAATATTGTTAAGATGGCTAGTAGACCACGACACAAAAGAATTAAAGCTTCTAATGAGCGTAATCCAAATCCAACAAAATTGAGCAGGAAAAAGATTATACAAACATGCAGCTTATGCACTCTTTTAGGTCACAATAGGACCACTTGCCCAAATGGGAGCAACCAAGTAATAACTACTTGTTTATACTTGACTGGCGTTTATTTATCATATTTTGGTTGTTTACATTTTATTTACGTTTAGGTACCACCACAAGGAAAAACACCAAGAACTAGACCCACAAGTTCAACCAACCCTGAATCTGCTACGGTTAGACCTGTAGCTTTAGTTCTAAAAAGTCATAATGCGACCACTTATGTACATGCAAATGAATCTTTGAACATACCTAGTTCTTACACACCAGTAGACTCAATGGGATTTGGTTGCTTTGTGGGTGAAATTACTGGCAGAACAGTGCTCAATGTACACTGCTACCATAATTATTGAACTTGTAAATTTTTTATATTTTGTGTTATACCTAAATATTTTATTTACTACCTTTATTTATTTTGCAGCCTTGTTTGGAGTCTGAGACAATTATTGCAAAATGTGCGTCACAAATGGGGATCAATCCTAATGCTCAAACCAAAATGGTGATACCGTGTGAAAGAACATTGCGCAAAAAACTCCCTTTTAAAAGAGCATGTGAGATCACAAGGAATATTCGATTTTGTGGAGATGGATAGTATGTTAGAGAACCCTCAACACTCCCTTTCTAGTCTTCCGGTTTGAATTGGGAAGGAAATCCCGCGATTACAACAAGACAACTTCAATCACACCGAGATAAAGTTGTCAACTAGCATGATGGATGGGGGACATACTTTATGGATAACACATGTTGAATGCTAGATTATTTGTTGCACTAAGGATGTTTTTACTTGGACTGTAATTTGCCCCGGACCAGTCCAGTCCAGACCAGTTCAGACCAGACCAGACTTGGATAGTTATAAAAATACAAAGAAACCAGACCTTACCAGACCTTACCAGACCAAACCAGACCAGTTCAGACCAGTTCAGACCAGACCAGACCAGACCAGCAAATTACAGTCCAAGTAAAAACATCCTAACCGAGCATATTGTTGCTACAATTTTTTTTATCAGTCATCACTTACTGATATGATTTAGAAACACATAGCTATAATTCACTTTTTGACAAAGGTGTTAATTTTGTGAGGCCAACGAATATTCTATGGATGAATATATATGTATTGATTTTAGGACTAATATGTTCTAGATTTTACTTTTACAAAGCACAAGCTGAAATATATGTCCTGAAATTACTCAAAAACACTAACATATATGTTATATACGGTCCGTCAAATAGGTGACTTTAACGGTTTTCAGTTAAATTAAATCTATTAATTAAAGGGGGTGTTTGCCCTTCTTTCAAATTTTTTTTAAAGATTTTTGCACAAAAAATAGTTTAAGGGCATATTTGCTCTTTAGTGACAACTTCAAGGGGGGTTTTGCCCCTTTTCCAAAATAAAAAAATCATAGATTTTAGAAAAAATTGACAAGAATAATCCCACCTTTCACTGATCTTCTCATAATAATCCCACATTTTAGTAATCCCAAATTAATTTCACCTTTACATCTCATCTTCTTTCATTGGACTCTGATATGTTGTTGACCTACTACACCAGGGTTTTTACCCATTCTTTAAAAATCTTATATAAATAATCACACCTTTCACAAATCTGCTCAATACGGTCTCATGTTCATTTTTTCTTTTTTCTCCCTAAATTTTTTATTTCTTTATGATTATCCCTAAACACTTTTTATTGCTTTTTCTACCCTTTTGTTCTTATTTCTTTTCCATTTTTATGATTCTATTTCTCACTGTATTAAAATAGTTTTTTTATTGTAAAATTTCCAGATAGTTCTTTGTTTTTTTTTTATTTCATTTCCCCCTTTATGTTTTTCTTCTTAATCACTCCGTTATTATTATATCTTTTTTCCCACTCTAGTTTTTGTTAAATTTTCATTTTTTTTTCATTTTTCTCCTTTTATTCTTGTTACTATATTTATGTTTTTCTTTTTTCTTCTTTTCTTTTTCTTGTTATCTTAATTGCACTGCAATATGTTTTTTCTCCTTTCTTCATTAAGATAACAAAGTAACAAGACGAAAAAAATGGAAAAGTGAAAATAAAAAGAAAACTAACAAAATGTAGAGTGGGAAAAAGATCTTTAATAAGAAGAGAATGATCAAGAAGAGAAATATACAAAGGAAAATGAAATAAAAAATACGGGAATAAAAAGAAAATGACAAAAAGATTTATTCAGGAAGGAAATTTTACAAAAAAATTCCTAATAGAATAAGAAATAAAATAATAAAAATGAAAAAGAAATAAGAAAAAAAATGATAAACTAGACCAGTAAATTACAGTCTAAGTAAAAACATCCTTATTCCGTATATTTTAATTAGGAAAAAATAAATTCGATCCTAATGAATTCCAAACTTTATCTTAGTTAGGAAAAAATAAATTGGATCCTAATGAATTCCAAACTCCAAACTCAAAACCGTCACGATTTGTCAATATTCACAGAACTTGTGTGACAAAAACCTACACAGTACAACCCTAGACACACACCACCCCCAGCTCTCTCTCCTACACACTCCCTGACATCCACTCCCCACGCTGCGCCGCCGCCGTCCATGGCCTCCGGCTTAGCTGCCGCCGTTTGATTGTTTTCGCCATTGAAACGGCCTTGATTTTCTGTGACCAGTGCTAACGCCTTTCTCTTCCGCATTGAAATAGGATCAGTCATTCTCAGTAATCAGACCTTAACTTAGAGCTCACTGAGAATGACGGAGTCTGAGTTTTCCGTTGATGATCACCAAGCTGACATTGGACCTCCCAAGTCGCACTGGAAGACGCCGCCTCAGGCTACAGGTGAGATTTCGTCACCGGCAGCGGCAGCGGATTCTGATTCCTGGCCCGCGCTTTCAGATGCTAAGCAGCGGCTCAAGGGTAACAACTCTGGTTCTAGTTCCTCCAAGTCGTTGCCTCCGGCGAGTGAAAGGAAGACAGCTGACGCTTCTCCACCTCCACCTCCTGTTCCGGTAGGTTTAAATTTCTCTTGATTATTACGGAGTATCTTAAAATATGATCTGTTAATCTTTGCTATGCATGTCATCCTATGTACTCTTGCGATCTTAATGTGTGATATCTACTCCCATCCACTGTTGTGAATTTGATCACTATATGTACGGCTAGATCAAATTCAACTGTAGAATTGGTTGTATCTACATCAGTAGAAGAATTGTTTCAATTTTTTATTGACTTTCTCTGTGGGGTGCCTTATTTAACAGGGCTCTGTTGAGAACAGGAAGTTTCAGGGTCACGCCAATGGTAAACATTCACACAGGCAGTTTTCTGCACGTCAACCAAAAGCAGGGCCAAGACACAGGCCAAATGGTGCACCCCCGTTTCCAGTTCCTATAACATATCATCAACCAGGGTTTCATCCAGTCTATCCTCCCATGGTATCTGTTCCACACTTTCAAGTCCCAGGGTATGCTTACCAGCATCATGTCCGAGGCTCTTTTCCAATTAGTGAAGGTCATATGGTTAAGCCTGGTTCCAATATTGCAACTCAGGTCTTTGTTCCACCAGGAAAAGGTAGTAGCCTTGAGTCCCCATTACTAGGTGATCAGAACCCCCATGATCCCAAATCATTCATGGGAAGACCAAATAAGCATGAACACAGTGTGCAATCCAAATCAGCATCGCCTAATTTGCCTCCAATTGCGTCCAAAGACAACATTCAGCCACAACCAAGCATGGCTCATAGGCCATTCATGAGACCTCCATTTTACAGTCCAGCTCCTTCATTTGTTGATGGAGCTAATTTTCAGGGTAAACTGATACTGTTTAGGTGCATTTGGAAGTGGGCACTTCTATGGACTTGCTGATTGTTATGGAATTATTATTGCATGATGTTATAAAAATGCCTTTTTTATATTTCCTGTAGGACCTCCGGGAGCTATATATTATCTTCACCATCCACCTCCCATTGGTGTCAGAGTGCCTTACCCACCTCACTTTCTCCCGCCTCCAATCCCTGGAACTCGGATGCCACCTTCTCCAATATCAACTTTGAAAGCTAGTATAGTAAAGCAAATTGAGTACTATTTCAGGTGAATTGTTATTAATATTATATTTTCATTATTTTTATAAAAATGCTTTGTATTGTTATAGTTATACTCTGTATGTCCTAAAATGTTCTTCCCACTCCCATGATGAGCCATCACAAGAGTTTTTAATAAAAAGTTTAAAAAGAGAAAATGAAGAACACATTATGTGCCATGAGCATATAAATACAATAAAATAAGCCTCGTTGGGCTTGGATGTCTGTTGCAAGTTTTAAGTTTTTTTTCCAAAACAACAATCAGATTTCAAAAACCAGAAATAATTGTTTTCAGTTTTAAGTTGGCAGCTTTCAAACGTGATGTGATTAGTATAAGACTACTTCATTTGGTTTATAATACTTCTTGTATCATGTAACTTGTAAAATTATAAAACAAGAAACTGACTCTTGCTATCACCTGAGTCAGGCTTACACTTGATGTGTTGTTACTTGTAACCATATTTATGTCATTTGGCTTAGAACCACTTGTCTTTACATACATTCATGCATGCACACATGTATATTCAAGTTTGTATAATGTATGTGAGTGTGTGATTTTCTTACTATTGCTATATACCTTTCTTCAGAGTCAAAGTACTACTCTATTTGCACACTTTGCAACTGATGATTAAACTATTAACTACTTTTCTTATAATTCATTTCATTAAACCATTTAATTTAAAACTATTAGACTAAATGAAATTAGGAAACAATAATAAGACACTCGTACCTTTAAAAGTTACTAAAAATAAAAGCAATTAAATATCATGGCCAAGCAAACCAGCATTGATATCTTTTAAACCAATGCATTGTATGCAAAAAGGTCAAATGAGTGAAATGTTGATCCATGATTTTTTTTGGTGGTGGTGTGGAACACAATCCAATAAGTAACATTTGGTTAGTGAAATTTTAATCCATGAGTTTGTTAATCCAATTGATGGAAGGGGCTAGAGTTTGTGAGTTCCATGGCTTCAATGTTTTTTGCTCACTTATCATTATAGTGTAATTCTTAACTCTTAAGGAGTGATACTGATATTTGTAATTAGGATTAGAGGATAAAAAATAGATTTTAAAGTAGAAAATTAACTATTTAGCCTAAACTTGGATGGAAGTAGTCTTGTTTGTGTAGTTCAGTATAGCGTGATGCATCTGGAATGGGAATTCTTGGTAAAAATTTCACTTTTGTTATCTGCTATTGTTGCTATTGCTGGTGAATCTATTTCCCCATACTATCCAATTTTTTTAACGATATAATTTTTATACATTATACATGTATGACATGCAGAGTGTTGTGACTCATTGTCTAATTTTTTATACCTTTTGGCAGTGATGCAAATTTGCAGAGTGACCACTACTTGCTCTCTTTAATGGACAACCACGGCTGGGTACCAATTTCTATTATTGCGGACTTTAAAAGAGTATGTTGTGTTCACTTCATATCTGTTTTTACTGGAGCTATTATTTGCTTTCTTTTGTATTTATTTGCTTAGCTAATTGTACTTGTAACCTCTATGCTATGATTTTCTACACTTGCATCTCCTTGTTTTGATTGATTGACATAGAAAGCTGCAGTCTCTAACATATTGTTCATTCATGTTTCAGGTTAAGAGCATGAGTACTGATATACCATTTATCCTGGATGCCTTGCAGGGTTCAAGTTCAGTTGAAGTTCAGGTTAAATTGGTTTTTACCGTCTTTTGGCATGTATTGAGATTTTGACACATTTCTTTTCTCACTTTCAATGCTAAACTTCTCTATCACACACATCATTCCCTTCATTCCATGCATTATTTCTACAGGGTGACAAGGTGAGGAGACGTGATGAGTGGTTCAAATACATCCGAGCTACTCCTGATCAGAAGTCATCCCCTCCAGTTCCGACTCCCCAGGAGCAATCTAGGGAACAGGCTGTCTGTGATTTGAAGAAAAATGAGCCTAATGAACAAACACAAGACAACCTTGTTATGAATACTTCACTCGATAATGGAGTACCATTTGAACCACCATCAGTAGTTGTCCAAGAACAAAATGTCCTGGTTGGTAATGGTACAGTGGATATGGGAAAGATGACACAACTTCTTGATGTAGTATCTCATGCACAAAGTGGTGATATTACCTCACAATCTAGTAGAAATGATAAAACAAATTCTGTTGATATTTCTAGTGGGCCTTCGTTTGCAGAAGAAAATGCAGACTCAGATGGCTTACAGAGTCCTCATGACCAGGTATCTTCAGATATAGCTGCAAAGAACATGGATGACTTGTCTCATGATTTCTCAAGCACTTTCATGCTTGACGAAGAGCTAGAACTTGAGCATAAAGCAGCAGTAAAAGACAATATGCCTTTAACCGAAAGGTATTACAGTGCCCTCTATAATTCTCACATAAATATTCACTCTCGTGAAGTTTTTTCTCGCTTCTCTGTTTCCTTGCTATATCCATTGCCATATTGAGTTTTTTCTTGATAAATACAGAGTAAGTTTTACATAATAGAAACATTTAGAAGTTTTGTTTGTTTATTTTGGTAACCTCTATGTATTATATTGCTTCACTGCCTGGTATATCAAGCGTGGTAGTTACTAGTTAGTATTGTACGGGAAAGATAACAATACGGAGTACAAATGCTTATGAAATATTGTTGCAGCATTGTGGTGTTGCAACTTATCACACGAATGACAGTCCTAAACTGCATTGTTCAATTCATTTACTCGAGTTTAGCCTAAAATATGGTGAGTCACATGACCCTTTTCAGAAGAACCCTTCTACAATTCTTGGGGTTAGGTCAAATTCAAGCTCCTTCAATGAAGCTACGAGAGTGTATGGCTGAAGAAAGTTTTGCCTGCTTGTCGCTGCACATGCTGGAGCTTCAGATCTTATGTACTTTCTTCTTTTTCTGTCTTTTCCCCTTCTACACCAGCCATTTATACTTCTCTCTTCTTTCTTAAAGTGAGAACAAAGTTGAATAAACAAAAATAAAGAACAACCCTCTCTCTCTGCTCTGAGAATTGAAGATATATATATATATATATATATATATATATATATATGCAGTGCTATTTGTCTAACTACGTAATGTCTCCCTGTGTCCCTTCAAAAAACAGTTAGTGGTAATATATTCGTTTCGATGGCTGTCTATCTCCACTTAGACACTAATTTTATCATAATGTTCTTTATTAATATATTTAAGTATACTATTTTTTTATTTAATCATGTATATTATGGTTCATAACCTGATATTATTCAATCTCGATTTGATAACCTTATCTCAAGTCATTTTTAGTGTAATATATTTTTGCTGAGTTCCCTCCATATCTGATGTATCTTTTCGGGTTACAAATAGGCTTGAATATAATTTAGCTAGAATTTATCCTCTCATTCTCAGTACAATAATTTTTGAAATGTGAAATGGTAAACATATTGATCACTCTTATTGACTGACCATTTTTTATTTATTATTTTCATGGTTCCTGAAGAGTTGATGATGAGGATGATGAGATGGTAATCAATGATGAGGAGGATATTGAGAAACTTGTTATTGTTACCAGGGTAAGAAATGTTACAGCACTTGCATGAGCACTCTATTCGTCTTATGTTTCACAAATTTAGGACAATTTTGATTTTACTCGACGTTGCCACTATATTTGATTGTAGCTTTTCCGACTGTTTTCTGTGTGTTCCATAGTGCATCTATGGTCTATCTACATTAGCACTGAGTCCTTATCCCTGCAGCTTCTGATTAATCTGCCTAAATCTTATTAAAAGAAAAACAAGTGTCAGTTTACTGATTTAATAATGACTTAGAATATTGTTGTGTCTTTGTGTCTTGGTGAAGAATACTCAATTCCGGAGAGAGTCTGGTACCATTGCGATAGAATCCAATCCGATATCCAGTGAGCTTGCTTCTGCAATAAATGATGGCCTCTACTTCTATGAGCAGGTTTTTAATGATTTATTTATCTTATGGATGGCATTTTCATTTCAATAGTAGGATGTTGTGCTGATAATGTTAGGATTTTTTCAGGAGCTCAAGGCTCGACGATCTAATCCCAGATCTTTGAACTCAAATAATGATTCTATAGATGAGTGCTCTAAATCATCGGGTGCTACAGCTTCTATGATGAAATCTACTGGTGAGCATTCTTTTGAAGGCAATGGTTATGAAGGATCTGACAACTCAAATTCTCGACGGAGACAAACCAAAGGATTCTCTAAACAGCATTCAGTATATAAACAGAGGCTCTTTACTGGCAACGTGAAAAGTCATAGAACTAGTTGGAGTGGACCTGGTTTAATCTCTGAAAGTCCGCCCTGTGATTCAGTTGGTTTTTTCTTTGGTTCTACGCCTCCTGACAGTCATGGGTAAGTTCATGCGATTTCTCTTTTTTCCCTACAAAGTTAAGAGCTACTGTTGCATTAGATTGGGCCCTATGGTACAATATCAGATACTTTTTGTTTTGTTCCTCTTAAAGTTATAGGTGCATGTTTTTCCAGGCCCAGGCATTCGAAGTGCACTGCTTCTCCTAGGGGCAATCTTTCAGGCAGCAGTCCTCCAGTTGGCTCAATGCCAAAGCCATTTCCGCCCTTCCAGCACCCAAGTCATAAACTTCTGCAGGAAAATGGTTTCACACAACAGCTGTGAGAAGATTAAGCTTTAAGTGATTATATATGTGTTGATGTGTGTATGTGTTGTGTGCAATTTATAGAATATTTTGTCTGCCTTCTAATGAGGTTTACTGGGTTCAAAGAGGGAGGAATTGTTAGGGTTTGATGTGGTTGTGACTTGTGAATAGATATGGTAGCTATTTATGATCTCTCTAAATGAATTTTCTCTCTTAATTAAGTGCTTTTCAAATATCTGTTTAGGTACAAGAAGTATCACAAGCGCTGTCTTGGTGAGCGCAAAAAACTTGGAATTGGATGTAGTGAGGTGCACTTTCTACAATGGCTTTGGTGGTCTAAATAAGATACTACTTGCTCCCATTCTTACTGTTATTGTATTTACCTGTTTTCTGAATAAAAGTGGGTTTCGGTACCCACTTGGTGGAAGTTATAAAAATTATGGAACTTATACAGTATAGTTGAATATGCACTTTGTTAGGTATGTATTATTTTTGTGTATAAGAATACCTTTATTAAAAATCTATTCACAAATCCAATTTAACCTAATCTTTCTTATATGCTTTTGTCCATCCATGAACTCACATTTCATGGTAGTCTTACTATTTTTTGTTGTTTTTTGGTATTTATAGAGAATAACCGAGACTTATCCAAGAATGTTGTGTGAACTTATCCGATTTGTGATAATTTTTTATCCGAATGTGTTTACAAGGAAAAATGAACTTGAACTCCCTATTGGGTATTAATGAGATTTAAGATCTAAAGCTTTAGAAGCTTTTATTTTTATCCTTGATTAGAAATAATAAGCTAGAATCAATATATTGATTATTATAGCTGCTTTCATTATCTTATTTGCCCATTTGAATAATACGGAGTATCTGAATTTATCATATTACTTTTTATTTTAAACTATAACATCAATTCTTTAGTATGTATATGTATATATGTGATTACTGGTATTATTTTATTCTCAATGCAGGAAATGAATACACTATACAGGTTTTGGTCATATTTTCTAAGGAATATGTTTATACGGTCTATGTATAATGAATTCCGGAAGTTGGCACAAGAAGATGCTGCTGCTAATTACAACTATGGAATGGAGTGCCTTTTTAGGTTCTATAGGTATGATTTTCAGCTAGTCAATCCCACGTCTGCTCATATGCTGCAATTATCATAATTCGTACTCAGTGTGCTAAACAGCATTGTTTAGCAGGATGTTGATCTTTCTATTTCGGGCGACTTCTGCCACTCATGAATCTATTCACGGCACTGATCATCGAATCTCTATTTTACTCTTGTTGCAGTTATGGCTTGGAGAAGGACTTTAGGGAGGATCTTTATGACGACTTTGAAAAGTTGTCACTTGACTTCTACAATAGAGGAAACCTCTATGGCCTTGAGAAATATTGGTAATTACATGCTTGAAATTTGCTAGGGTTTGTACCCAGATGTACCTGTACACCTAATTTGCCAAAATGGAGTACCCATGCCATAAAGTGTAATTCAATCAACCCCATAAAATGTTCAATGTGAAAGTCTGTGAAAAAACAAAAAGATTATTGCTTAATGTTACTGCCATATAGGCTTTCATATTAGCCAGAAAACAGCAATTCCCCCCTGAAAAAACAAATCACAAATTGATAGTATTTGGGGGCACCAAGGGAGCTTATCTTATGGCTTTTACTAGTCTACTATTATGCTTATTTTGTAAGAATAAATGGATACGCCCCTAGGGTACCAAATACCCAAGGATTATATATGTTCTCTGATATTTAGGTTCAAAGGTGTATTTGTTCCAATTTTACAATTTTGCGTTTTAACTTTTAACTATTCATTTTGCGTTTTTTTTTTTGCATATACAACTACAACTTTTTGCAGCTGTCAATAGAGCCTAGAATTCATTTGTATTACTGCTTGTGGCACAGGGCATTTCACCATTACCGTGAAGCGCGAGATCAGAGAGCAGCAGTGCCGCTGAAGAAAAATCCAGAATTGGATAGACTGCTGAGAGAAAAATATCGTAGTATGGATGACTTCAAGCAGGCCAAGGAGAAGATTGCTTCCCCCTGAGAAGAGAATTAAAAATGCGTATCTTAGCTGTAGACCTGACATTGGCTAAAACAACTCAGAAAAAGGTGGTGGTGATGGTGCTGCTGCTAACAGTTTATGAAAATGAGCAAAAGCCAGCATTGCTGATTTTTGTACATATAGAGTATTTATGGGTTTGAATTTTACCCGGTTTTTTAGGGAAAGAGCAGCAAAAGAGTTTTGAGCTTAGAAGAGGTTTCATTACCCAGTGGTGGTGTGCTTTTGCGCATTTGTTTTGCCCAAACTTTTTGAGGCAGCTCTAGAGATGCACCCATTTTCTTTCTATCGTTTCCTAACTTGTATATAACAAATAATAGTAGAGATGGAAAAAAAGTATGACTTAATGGTTATTAATCCGTCTGTTCGTTTAGTTCATCTAGATTTTCTGTGAAATGTCGTCAATTCAAAATAGGCCTATCACTGGTCACTATGCATTTGTATGTGCCAGTCGCCCTCTAATGTCACTTGTAGCAGAGACCAGTAATTCCAAGTAAGCTCAAGCTGGGGCGCAGAAGCCTATTTTGGTCTCTATTATGGTGGTTCTGGTCCAAGTGAATTACCCGTTGTCCCGTTCACTTCCAAATTGGAATTGGGTACACACCTAGATGTAGTAAAAATATGGTCTATTCTAGGCCAGACGGTGACTAGTGATAAACCGGTTCTGGGCCGCCCGGCCCGTGGCCTGGCCTGACACTGTTTGGAACCGGCCTGGCCTGTTGGCCCGGCAGAGACCGGTTCGGGAAGGCCTGGTGCGGGGGTTAAGTTGGGCGGGCTCGGGTCACCCAAATTAGGAACCGGCCCGGTCGGGCCCGAATCGGCCTTTTTTATTTTTTTTATTTTTGTTTTTTCAATTTTTTTTTTTTCACGGGTTGGGTGGGTGGTTTGGGGGGTGAGGGGGGGGGGGTCGGGGGTTAATTAGAAAAGCAAAAAAAAGGAACCGGCCCGAGGCCCGGCCCGGACCTGGTGGATAATCGGGCCGATTCCGGGCCTCAATCATCTCCCAAAAAGCCCGGTCAGACCCGGCCCGGGCCCTGTCCATGCCTAATGGTGACTGGTGTGATAAAGTCGTAAAACCTGCAGAATAGTAAATTTTGTTTAATATACGTGAATAACATGATAGATGTGTGTAACTAGGGGTGGACCGGGACTGGGTTGGGCCGGGCTCCGGGCATGGGCGAACTCGGGATTAAGAAATTCAGGCCTCGTAGCGGCTTGGGTTTTTATCGGGACTGGGTCTAAACAGTATTGGGTCGGGTCGGGTTTCCGGACGGGACTGGGCAATAAATTAAAAAAATTGTGCGATCAGGGCCGAAGCTTGCCCTTATAGCCACCAGGTTGGGACCGGATCTGAAAAGTCGTGGGCCGGCTCGGGCAGTGGTCGGAGTCGGGCCGACCCGTGTCTGTCCATCCCTATGTATAACCATGCAAGTTTATGGTATCATTTTATTAGAAGGTCCACTATGAATGGGTGATGGCTCATAACTTCATAAGACTTCAGTAGCAATGTGGATTGGACCTAGTACAACTGTCAGCTGTAGTGTCCATATTGGCATTACACCGGCAGCACCGATATAACGGAGTAAGCTAGGGCACCTAGACCAATAGCGACACAAGGCACTTAGATTAGGTAGGCCTTAGATATCCAATTGCCTGCACAATTATTATATAGATATCATCATTAGGGGTGGACTCGGGCCGGGCGGCCCGCCCCGAAACCGGCCCGAACCGGTCACTGTTTGAACCGGCCTGAACCGCCGGCACAGCCAGGGACCGGTCCGGGTAGGCCCGACCCGCTGGGGTTCCAGTCCGGGCTCGGGCCCCTCAAAAGGTGAACCGGCCCGGCCGGTTCGGGCCCGGTCCGGGCCAATTAATTTTTTTTCTTTTATTTTGAAATATTTTCAAGTTTTTGGGTTGGGCTGGGTATTTTGGGCCATTTGAGGTGGTTTGGGGGTGAGGGGGGAGGGTTAATCAGGAAAAGCCAAAAAAAAATTGAACCGAGGCCCGGCCCGGCCCGGCCAGACCCGAACCGGACCCGGGGGTTACCCGGGCCGGATCCGGGCCTCCCCTTTTATGAACCGAGGCCCGGCCGGGCCCGAGTCCACCCCTAATCATCATGAGTTCATGATCACTAAGCTACACTAAAATATACTCCCTCCGTCCCTCTAATATTGGAACAGAAGGGAGTGATGTGATTTTAAAGAAATGTAGAATTATGTGGTTGATAATGAGTTGATAAAGTGAAAATGAAGTAAGAATGAATTAGAGCTACACAAATGTTACCAATATGGTATAAGACAATAATAGAGGGACACCAAAAAATGAAAAATGAGACAATTATTGGGAGACGGAGGAAGTTCCATATGTGGTCCTTCTTGCTATAGAAACGTTCTCACTTTCTTTTTTTGGACGCCCCATATAAAAGTTTTCATTTCTATTTTAGGAAACAATTAACAATCTTAAATGACAAATTAATCGTTAAATATTAAAATAATACATTCATAACACCACAGTCATCAACACTAAAGATGTTTTTACTTGGACTGTTTTCAGTCCCAGACCAGACTTGGCTAGTTATGAAATACACAAAGACCAGACATTTACCAAACCAGACCAGTTCAAACCAGATCAGACCATAAAATTTCAGTCCAACTAAAACCATCATACCCCCATTATACTATAGTCTATATACCTATTAAAATTATTTCTCAAAATATACTTAAACTATCTTATGTAACTATTGTCTAAATAATCGTGTCATTTTGCTATGAGAACCTTTCAACATGACAAAAGTAGTATCTATTTTTTCATTATTTCCTTTAAAACTGTAAGGTTGTATTAATTTTTCGAACCAATTATGCCCTCAACTCTCGAGTATTGCATATTTCATTTTCTATAACTTTGGTTTATTTTGTGTGATCAACTCCAAATAAAAACTTTTTGAGATTATATCATGATATCATCGCATCTTTTCCCAAACGATCCCGATATACACATTTCAATAAATAAAAATCAGCAAATGCTTAACTCATTTATGTAAGTATTCTTATGAAGTAGGATGGTCAATGTAATCATGTTAGCAATTTTTGTGATCACGACTGTGTTCAATTTTATACTGTAGTGATCATGAAATTATACACTTAATAAATTTAGAGATATTTTAGTCTATGAATTTTATGTGAGTAATATTCTAGGGAAAAAATCTATTCTATAATGTACCATATATCATGCTAATGGTTTATTATGATGAATTACTTGTAGCTAACTGAACCAATTTAGTTTTTTTAGCATCATTTCGATTTATATGTTGTTAAAAGATACATAGTTTAATATATAACTGCAAATTTTATAATCGATTTGAGATTTAATGTCCCATAGTTTAGATCGTGTTTTCGCTTATACTTGTTTAAGTCTGAGAGCACACCAAAATAAATTTAAACAAGTCAGATGAGACCGGATCAAACTTAAAGCATCTCCATTCATGATACTCAAATAAACGATTTTTCTAGTACACTTAATTGTCATATCATTTTTACGCATTAAATTATGAATAATCTTAGAGCTTAAAATTATTCATCAACAATGATATTCATATAGTTAACTTTTTTATGACATGCATTAAATGCTTTTTAACTATAATCTACAATAATCCTGGATTTGAATCTTGGTACCGAATTTTCTTTTTAAATAATTTTCCTAAATAACCTATTTCCCTCAATGTTAATCTTTGAAATAATCTAACATGTCATGGCGTTAAGCAAAACATACTAGATGAGACTGGAAAATTCTAATTCAAGTTAAAACAATTAAACCAATGACTCATTGAATGTGTTACTTCATCTTATTAACTTTGAAATGAACTAAAGAAGGAAAAACAAAACATTTTATTACAGATAGTGTAAATTAGTAATTAATTAGAGCTCTTGCCAAAAAAGGTTATTTATTAATGCGATAACCACTTAAGAAGAAAAAACCAAATAAGAGCTCTTGCCAAAAGGTTATTATTACTTAGATAGTTTATTAATCTATAAACTTTGAAATGAACCAAATAAGAAGAAAAAATCCTTCATACACAAAGTGTATTTATTACGTAGTAGTAATTAATTAGTGCACGGCTAAAATAGGAGATTTATCAATACCATAACTACTAATTAATAACATCCAGTATAAAGTCATTCCACTTATATAAAAGTATCTCCAATGGTTGATTTGGAGGAGTTTTGTAATTTTAAATTATAGTCAATCATTGGAATATTACTTCTCATTTTGCTCCAAAAAGCTAACTGGTTAAAAGGAGCTACTAGATTTGAAGAAAGAAAGTCATTAAACATTATATTGTTAATAATAAATGAATATGAAGAAATTGTAGATAACCATTGAAGTATCATTTATTTTGAAAATAATTTTTTACTTGAGGTAATAAATCAAATTACAAAAATAGCCGGCTAACCATTGAAGATGCTCCAAGTGAAAGGTGAGGTCATCCGACATTTATGATTTTAGTAATACATTCCATATTTTTATGTAAAAACTAAAAACTATTATTTATTTTTAAAGTAACCTTCACTAATATTGTTATTCTTTCACAAAAATATTCCTATTTGACACAAAATTATTTACAGATACTGGTGTATAAAAGCTACGGAAATAAAACATCAATGAAGGGAGGGATATTCGGATACAGTTGAAGATTCAACTTTTTCTCTTCACATCTTTGTAGCACCGAAACTCTCAAGAAGGAGTACGTTTCCGTTTTGGAAACTCTACGGAAGCTCTTTATAAACTCTCCAAACAAGCGTTTTTTGAACAAAAGTTGACATTTTCCTTTTCCTGTTTCCTCATTATTTTTGCGTTTCGATCCATGCAACATACTTCACGTTTATTATATTGTATATTGTACAAATGAGTGATCGAGTACAGACAATTACACACATATAAAATTAGGTTATTATGACATACTTAAGTATATTGGGAGAAAATAACTTAAATAGGAGAAAAACATTGAATAATTTTTAAGATAAGAGTAGTATCGTTTTCTTATCAAAATAAAACTCATTTCATAATAAGCTGAAGTTTAATAACTCTAGACAATTAATTGACAAATAGTCGTGTTTAAATGAAGAAATGATCTTAACATGACTTAAAATTAATAAGCTAAGTTACTGCATGTTTATGTTGATCTTGCTTATAAAATTAACACACTTATTCTTATGATAATTTACATTTCCACTCGATATTTTTTAGTTGTGTTTTCAAAACAAGTTAAGCGTACTTCAATTCATTCAGCTAACATTCCAGTGTCAACAATTTTTTTACAACTTCTCTAGATATAGCTTCTGACAATAGGCTCCAATTTCAGATCATTTTTTCAATTATTGACTT